TGACTTCTTCCTCTCTTTTTTTTTCTTTTTTTTTCTTTTCCCCTTTTGCAGAATTTTCTGCGTCAAATTCTTTCAGGTCTTGCGTACTGTCATGAGCTCAAAATTATGCACCGTGATTTGAGGCCTGACAATTTGCTGGTAGATCACGAAGGCTCCGTGGTGAAGATTGCGGACTTTGGATTGGCCAGGAAATTTGGTAGTCCTCTTGGGGAATATTGTCCGGAGGTATTTCCTGTATCCTCTAAGTTCATTTTGCCTGACTGAGACCTTTAAATTGCCTTTTTTTTTTTTTATTGCTGTTCCTGATCCACAATGCCTTCATCTGATTTTTGCATTGCTGCCTTGGCAATTGTAAGAATCCGACTTTCACCTTAGATGATGTTCACGTATGATTTTTGTGAGAACCCGAATATAAAAATTAAGTAAATAATTTGATAATAATATTACAATCTCAAATATTTTGGTGGTGAATTCTAAGGTGCAAAATTAAATATTATTGAGGATCCTTTAATTAATTTTTAAACCTAAAATAAATTTATGGTGAAAGTCATTGATTTAGAAGCAAGATTTATTATTTAAAAAAAAAATAGAGAAGAGGGTGTGACTTGAACTCTAGACCATAAAATTAATAAGTTAGACTCCTAACTTTTGAGTTGCATGTAACTTATATATGTATTTTGTATATTTATCTATCTATTTGACCTAAGTGTGCCCACAACTAGTATAAAATAAAATAAACACAAACCCTACTCTATTATTTGTTCACCACATAGGGCAACAACACAGCAGCCACGGGAGAAGGTTTGAGGGAAGGAAAAAAAGAAGAAGATGTTGCAATCAAAGAACTTTTGGATGTGTTGTGTTGTGTGTGATCATCAAAGGTTAGCCTTCCTAGGTTTTCTTCTCTTCTTTCTTTGTTCTATCCTTATTCTATAATTAGTTTATTCATTCATGGAGAGGTTGTAGGTTTATGTATTGTGTATATAGATATCCTATTAAGAAACTTGAGGAGCTAAATTTATGTGTAAAGATTGGGTGTAATTTTCAGTCCAAAAATTCTGCACAGAATCGCAAACTTTAAAAATCAAGAAACCATATCAAACGGATGAATTTTAATCTGAACTTTTTACAGTAGATCAATTACATATTGAATTGAATATCTGATTTTTTTCATAATTTTTGGGAGTCAAAATCAATATAAATTGAGGTATTCAAATCTGTCCAGGAAACCAGTCCGAAACAGTAAATTCGGGAGTGTTGTTCTCTTTGGGTATAAATCCAAAAATTATCAAATTAGTGTCATTAGAACCGGTTACGAGTCTAGTTTCATACGTTTTTGGCCTTGCATTGATTGCTCGTGTATATTAAGAGAACCGTCAATTTCTTTAAAGTGCTGCAGAAAACAACCTGTTTGGATATAATAAATGGTAGATAATTATTTTGATAAGCAAATCAAGTGAAACCAATTGGGTTTGAAACTTAGGATATAATAGATCATATCTGGAGGTTTTTGGGATTTTTTGAATAGCGTGGAGTGGGTTTTGTAATTTTCAAAGTTAGCGAATAGATTGGGAAAACTAGTTTAAAACACTGTTTTATCTTAAAGTTATTTTTAGTTAAGTTTCGATCGGAACACATGTCGTGGGTGATTTTAGACCTTGAAAAACATGAACTTAGGTAATATTTAAGAGTAACGGTGAGTTGGGTTGAGCCGTGTTAGTGCGCTTTAGTTTGAGGTTACTTAGTTCCTATTTTTTTTTAGTATTTTTAAATTAGTTATGACGTGTAGTTTTTATACTTGGTTCAGGGCACTAGTTGGACTTTTACACTCTATTCGAGGATTATATTATTTCATTTTCAGGTGAGTAGTTTCATGCTACATATTTTTATAAATGTTCCCCTACCCTAAACTATTGGAAAATTAAATTGTTGTTTTAAGACTAAACTGTTTTGATAAATTATTATATTATCAATTGAATCAAATTATTTCTGAAACACGTGTGAACTTGGCATACTGTAAACTATTTGTTTTGGTCTCATGTTTATAATGATGAACTACCATGTTTTGCGAAACTGATGTGTATTGATTATTGGGACCATGTGTGTATTTAGTCCAAGGAAATTATTCCACTGTGTATGGTGACTCTGGCCACTAGGGAACAGATCCGGGTTGGGCCGTGATGACTCTAGTGCTCAACGATTGTAAGGAAAAGACCTTTAAAAACAACTAGGTAACCTTCAATCGGATCGTCTTTGTAATTCCAAGATTTTCGGGCTCACTTTGACCTCTAGGGCATTCCTTTAGTTTAGAGTGTTATGTCAAGTTTGTGCATATTTATATTTATTCTTATCGAAGTTCATTTAGGATTATTTTTGATATGTGGGTTGTTTATATCCCATAAGTTTGAATGGTTTTTGATTACGGTTGATTTTGCCGTTTATAATTGTGACATGTCTGGATTGAGTTTTGGTTATTTATTATTGGACTATTGTTTAATTGTTCAAGGTGAATTTGAATGCGTGTTTAGGCTTACGTGTGCCTTGGGCTAAGTCTCTGTGGGCCACGGCCGGTCATGCCCGGATTTGGGGTGTGACAAAAGATGTAAGCCCTTAGGGCACTTTTGATGTATTCTCTTTCCTTTTTGTTGAAATCTAATGTATGTAATTTTATGAGTACTTATTAAGAAAGATGTATTTGTTTTATAAGATTGTTATATTTAACCTTATCTATTCACACTTATATTAAGAAATTGGGTAACAATAATTGGTTGGTAATTATAAAATAGGTTACAAATATCGAGCGTGACATTTATCCAATTGCACCATCCATTCAATTAGCCTTTACTATTACGTGTTACCAAGTTAGAACCAGAACTTATCTACCTAATGTAGTCATGTCTTGCACCAGCACTTATTTGTCTTGAATACACGCAATTCCCAATGTTAAAGGTATATTGAAGTAATCTATTAGAGCCAAATATTCATCAAGTAGCTGCCACGACAGGGTTTTCTACTGATCTTTCTTGATATTGCCCCCGGATCTATTATTTTCATCTTGGAGGAATACCTTCCTTATGCTTGCTTCTAAGCTCAAAAAAGGTCATGAATAGCATGAAGTGCTATAGCAAGATTTTGTTTTGGGGGACTTCATCATTTATATAATTTGTCAACAGAGGAAAATAGATCATCTGCATCGAATGGTTTCAAGATGGGTATATGATACTATATTCCTTTCTACTTAATTTTATTAGAATTCTATTATTGTGTTTTACAAATTCCCTATTGCTTTAAAATTTCTATGCGGGAAGTCACTTTGTGCAAATTATGTCGAAGGTTAGGTCCCAATGGGCACTAAATTGGGCGTACTTTTTTAATTAATGTTTAAATTTACTATCTGAGGGAAAATATAATGATAAATGGATTGCAGGTGCAAAATATAGTTGCAGAAATTGTTGATTCCAAGTTGAGCAAACAAGTAATTCTTCCTTCTTCTTGTAATTAATTTTCTATGTAAAACTCATGGCTTGGTATAGTGCTCACACAAGTTAAATTTCTTTTGCCACAATCCTGGAAATCCCTACAGATTACAAGATTCAAGCCTTCCCTCACTTGCATTCCCGCAGTGGAAGTGATGAGCCTTGTGACTGCTCAAGGTCTTAAATTATTCTACTCTTCTTTCTAGCATGTGTTTACCATTAGAGGTTTCATTGCATGAGGTAATTTTTTTTACTCATTTATTTTTGGAGGTAAATCTCTGTTTGTTCATGACAGTGGCGAGGCAGAGTGAATAGAATGAGGTGTGGAAAGACATTCTGAATGCAGAGAGTGATAAAATATTTGTGAAGGTAAATTTCCTTTTGTAGTGTAAATTGCAATTTTTTTGATTCTTAAATACTCACGTTAACACGTAAAGTTTAGGATGAGTGCGGTTCAGAGGTTGGAGAATAGAATCATCATAAACCAAATGTGGTTCATCTTGTTCTGTTGGTCACATCAAAATTCACACATAATATTTTCTTGTTTTGTTGGTCATTATTTTTATTTTTTTACCTGAAAAGTAAAAACAACTGACAAAAAATTGAAGAAAATTTCACAACGTCAAAGAAAAAAAGAAAAAGAAAAGAAAAGGAACCCTTCCCAAACCAAGCCCGCAATTTTTAAAGAACAATATCACTTGAAATCTTTTGTAGGGTCGTGTGAATGAAGACATGTTTTCTATTGCTAAAGTAATTTCTTTTTATGACAAAACCATCCATCCATTGTTGCTAATTTGTTGATTTGCTTGTGTTTATTATTATTATTATTATAGGATATCAACTTCTACATGCAGAAGGGGGAGAATCCCTTTTTTTCTGAGTTGTCTGAAAGAGCATATTTGCAATGAGAAGTTGCCATTGGTTACATGAAGAACAATACAAAGGTATCTATGCCTTCTAGTTTCAGAGTGTTCGTGCTTGAGAAATAGGAAATTTTTGGCACCGATATCATAATCCATATTTTCCTCTAAAAGACTTGAAACTTTTTTTTTTTGGAAACTAGATGATAGAGCATTCAGATAATCCAACTTAATTCTAACATAAATGATTCAGTTTTTCCTTTGAAACTGGGTCACAATTACCTTTTATAAATTCTAGCTACTTCAGAAGCATTCCAATTTTGTTGCTTTCTATTTTGTACTAGTTTTATTTTTCCGCAGAAAACTCACAGCCCAAACCCAGATCCAGAGTTGATGTTTGGATTAAAGGACATACAAGGAAGAAAGGAAAATCTGTGAATGAAGTGCTTGAGGCAGCAGTGGTATAGTGATATTAGCTCCATTATGTATATATTGCATTATAATTTAAACTCATATTAAAGATTGTTTAGAAACTTTTGGACAGTTTTTAGAACTTAAGGATAGGGTTTTTTGGATGATTTAGAACCGTTTGGATGGTTTTGAACTTGAAGATAGTTTTAAGAGAATTTTTTTGATAAATCCATTTTCTAAGAGCTTTATTCCATCCAACCCATATTATTTTTGACTATTCCATTAGGTCCAATTTGAGATAAGAAGACCAAAATACCCTTTTCATCTACTTATGTTCTATTTAGTTCACATTATTTTCTTATGTTTCAATAAGTCCTATGGGTGACATAATTACCAAAATACCCTGTAATGTGAATGTTCACACCGTCAATAAAATGTTTATATCGTCAATGTGTAGGGGCCCGGCTCATGTCGATCCTCGTGGGTGCCCGGAAAAATTCGAGTCAGGCCGGGCCGGCCACAAGCCAAAAAATAGGCCCGACCCGGCCCGTTGACAATATGAATATTCACATTGACAAGTTAACATTCACATTGATAGGAGTGTAAAATTGGCCTGCGAACCGTGGCAGCCCGAACCAGCCCGTCGCCCGGGGCGGGCCCGGGCTGGCCCGTTCACAATATGAATATTCACATTGCCATATTAACTTAACATTAACATTGACAATAGTGTAAAATTGGCCCATGACCCGTGGGCAGCCCGAAGACCGGGCCTGGGCCCGGCCCGGGTCGGGCCGGGCCCGACCCGGCCCGTTGACAATGTGATATTCACATTGACATGTTAACATTCACATTGATAAGAGTGTAAAATTATCCCGCGGCCTGTGGCAGGCCCAAAACCCGTCTGCGGCTCGTGGGCTGCCCTGGGCGGGCCCGGCCGACCCGTTGATAATGCAAATATTCACATTGACATATTAACATTCACATTGATAAGAGTATAAAATTAGCCTGCACCCCTGGCTGCCCGAAACTAGCCCATGGCCCGTGGGCGGCCCGGGGCGGGCCCGACCCGGCCTGTTGACAATGTGAATATTCACATTGACATATTAACATTCACATTGATGAGATGTAAAATTGACTTGCATTCCATGGGCGGCCCGGGGCGAGCCCGGTCTGGACTGTTGACAATATAGATATTCACATTGACATATTAACATTCACATTGATAGAAGTGTAAAATTGGCCCGTGGCCCGTGGGCGGCCCGAAGCCCGCCCGCTGCCAGGGCGGGCCCGGCCCGGCTCGTTGACAATGTAAATATTCACATTGACATATTAACATTAATATTGATAAGAGTGTAAAATTAGCCCGTGACCGTGGACAGCCCGAAGCACGGCCCCGGGCCGACGCGGGCCCGGTCTGTTGACAACGTAATATTCACATTGACATGTTAACATTCACATTGATAAGAGTGTAACATTAGCCCGTGCCCCGTGGCTGCCCGAAACACGCCCACGGCCCGTGGGCGGCCGAGGCGGGCCCAGCCCGGCCTGTTGACAATGCGAATATTCACATGACATGTTAACATTCACATTGATAAGAGTGTAAAATTAACTCGCGTCCCATGGGCGGCCCGAAGCCCGTGGGCGGCCTGGGGTGGCCCGGGTTTGGGTCTAGGCCTACCCCGGGCCGCGGGCGAGCTTCGGGTAGCGGACAAGTTTTACACTCCTATCAATGTTAATGTTAACATGTCAATGTGAATATTCACATTGTCACGGGTCGAGCGAAGCCCGCCTCGGGCTACGAACGGGCTTCGGGCCGCCACGGGCTACGGGCCATTTTACACTCCTATTAATGTGAATGTTAACATGTCAATGTGAATATTCACATTGCCAACGGGGGGCCCGCCCTGGCCTGAGGTCGGGCTTCGGGCTGCCCACGGGTCACGGGCCAATTGTACACTCTTATCAATGTGAATATTAACATGTCAATGTGAATATTCACATTGTCAATAGGTCGGGCCGGCCCGCCCCGGGCCTCCCACGGGCCGTAGACGTTTCGGGCAGCCACGGGGCGGGACTAATTTTACACTCCTATCAATGTGCATGTTAACATGTCAATGTGAATATTCACATCGTCACGGGTCGGGCCAAGCCCGCCTCGGGCTGCGGTCGGGCTTCGGGCCGCCCACGGGCTGCGGGCTAATTTACACTCTTATCAATGTGAATGTTAACATGTCAATGTGAATATTCACATTGTCAACGGGCCGGGTCGGGCCCGCCTCGTGCCGCGGGCGAGCTTTGGCTGTCCATGGGCCGCGGGCCAATTTTACTCTTATCAATGTGAATGTTAACATGTCAATGTGAATATTCACATTGTCAACGGGCCGGACTGGGGCCGCCATGGGCCGCGGGCGGGTTTCACGCCGCCACGGGACGGGAGCCAATTTTACACTCCTATTAATGTGAATGTTAACATGTCAATGTGAATATTCACATTGTCAACGGGCCGGGCCGGGCCGAGTCGGGCCTGCCCTGGGCTGCTGTCTAGTTTTATACTCTTATCAATGTGAATGTTAATATGTCAAATGTGAACATTCACATTGTCAACAGGCCGGGCCGGGTCGGGCCCACCCACGGGCCGTGGGCGGGTTTCGGGCAGCTACGAGGCGCGGGCTAATTTTACACTCCTATCAATGTGAATGTTAACATGTCAATGTGAATATTCACATTGTCAACGGGCCGGGCCGAGCCCGCCCTGGGCTGCGGGCGGGCTTTTGGCCGCCCAGGGCCGCGGCCAATTTTATACTTCGTGTTCAATGGTAATGTTATAACATCGTAACGTCAATGTGAATAATTCAACGATTTGATCAACGGGCCGGACCGGGCCCGCCCCGGGCCACCCATGGGCCGCGGGCGGGTTTCGCGCCGCCACGGGACGGGAGCCAATTTTACACTCCTATTAATGTGAATTTTAACATGTCAATGTGAATATTCACATTGTCAACGGGCCGGGCCCGCCCTGGCTCGCGGGCGGGTTTCGGGCCACCCACGGGCCAATTTACATTCCTACAAATGTGAATTTTAAACTATGAATGTTCACATCATTAAATTGCTAATCGTTGAAAAAATATTTATAAAGGTATCAAAATTAAATATAAGGGCATAAGTGTCCAAGAAAATAATGTAAATCAAGAAAATGGACTTTATGGAATAAAACTATACATACATGGGACTAAATGGGTTAAAAAATTCCTTCATGGACTTTTTGGGTTAAAACACTTCTAAATTGGGCTTATCAATAAAAATCCCTAGTTTTTAATGTCTATAAACATAGTTTTTGGATGGTTTGGAATGTAAAGACAGTTTTTGGATGTTTAGAACTTATGGATAGTTTTTTTGTTTTTTTTTTTTTCAATGTTTGGAAACAGTATTTTAGTGGTTGATTGATATTTATATATATGTTTGTGAAGCTTGTTTGTAATGTTTTATTAGATTGTACAAAACGTGTGAAATATTACTTGCTGAATTAAAAAAAAAATTATTCACTTTCTACGGCATGCAACAAATGCCATTGTATTAAATATTCAACAACTTTCTATGAATGCCATGATTTGTTGCACTTATTTATGGCTGACAAAATAGGTTGTTGTATTAAATATTTAATGATTAGTAATGAGCGTCATGGTTTGTCTCTTGAATTAATGGCAACAGCATGCAAAAGTAGTTTTAGAAAAATTAAATATGATGTACTAGATTTGTTGTTAAAAGGTTTTTAACAGTGTACTATGGCATGTTGTTGAAGTGAATGACTTTCCATGACATGTCATGACATGACTTTACATCGCGCGTCATAGAATCATATCCACGGCTTGCATTTTATGTCATTAAAAGTGAGTTTTGTTGTATGTTGACCAAGGTTTTAAAAAGCGGCCGCAACCGTTACGTAATATAATGCCGTTACGTAATGGTTTTAGTGGTTACCGCCACCTGGTAAGGCCACTTTTGCAGTGTGATTGAGATTCACAGGTGTATCGGCCGTAGCGACTGCCGTAGTAGTCATAACGGTGCCGTAATGGCCGTAACGACCTGTTACGCACCGTTACGTAACGGTTCTGAATTGCTTCTTTTGAAAAAAAAAAAAACTGAAAATAGGGGAAGAGGGATAGACAGAGAAGAGGGAAGATGAAAAGGGAAGGAGGAGGAGTAAGAAATAGAGTAAGAAGGAGTAGCATAGGAATAAGACATATGCTATTTTGTTCAGCTGCTATCACTCAACCATTTTGTTTGTGTGCATCTATCTATATATTATTTGATAATAATAATAATAATAATAATAATAATAATAATAATAATAATAATAATAATAATAAGTGTGGTCATTATCTATTTAGTTTGATTAATATATATATATATATATATTTATGTTTTTATTTATTCACTTACTTTTGTCATTGTTTATCTTATATATAATAGTTAGTGATTGATTTTTTGTATAATATAAAGCCATTAATTATTAAAATAAAATATAAAAAACTCAATTTATAGTGATTTAAAAATATGAAATATATTGGATCATAAGAGAATGAATATTCAAGTGATCCAAACACAAACAAAAAAAATTTCTTTATAATTTATTTTTTAATTTTTATATGATTACATTAGCATGTATAATTTATTTTTTAAAACTATTCAAATTAAAAGTTGCATATGCTTCCACAAGTATAATAATTAAAAAAATAATTTTATACATCTAAGTCCAATAATATTTTTTTTTATTGCCACAAGCATAATATGGATTTATGACATATAAAGTCATTAATTATTAAAATAAAATGTAAAAACTCAGTTTTTAGTGATTTAAAAATCATATTTAAAAATTTACAAAAATTGATCAATATTTATTTTAAAACCCAATAAATATGATTATGCAAAAAAAATATGCGCATTGGTAAGTTTTTTTTTAAATTGTGCGAAAAATAAAAAAATTCACGGTTCTAGTTACCGCAACCGTTACGTTACGACTTTTACACCCTGCAACTGCAACCGTGCCACCGCCACCGTTACGGCGACCACAACCGCTTTTCAGAACCTTGATGTTGACTAAGAAAATAACCTAAAGTAGTGGTAACAGAAATCTCAAGAAAATAATTGAGAAGTCCAAGTTCTTTCATAGCAAAAAACCCATGCAATTGTTGAATGACAGTG